ATTATGGCTGGGGAACAGTTTGAACAAAAAGGAAGTTTGTTTCAGTAGGCCGAAGGGAGTGTTAATCATCGTCGAAATAGAAGAAGACTGGTCTAAGTGAATTTGAAGGTATGCATCTTTCACCACAACCTTCCAGAATACCTTAGAACCACGAAGTCAATTTAGAACATCTTCCACCGTCAGATGTTCGTTCTTAATTTATAGTCACCACATATTCTATGGATCGTGCCATTAAACTTTGAGTGTGTGACGTTAGAGTTACCACATGCTGAAGACCGGATCGGGTCAATCACACGTTCCACATACAAATCGTCCAGTGTCTCATGTACTGCTTCTCGAAAACCATAATGGATTATTTTCATTTAAGAAAGACCTGATCGCCATGTACTTGAAGTTTCTAGACTGAATTTCCAATCTTTCACCACACTTAGCACACGCAGCTATCAAATCCCTAATTAAAGCGTCAGCATCTTCTTTAGAACTTAGTGAAGACAACTTCACTATAACCCTTTTATATTTTTCAAAAGTAACATTAATGTTCGTGTTTCACTAAAAACTCACAACGCTTATATGAAACATTATCACCTTTAAGTAACAATACATAGCATCCACGTATGGGCAGTTAGTGTCCAGTAATTGCCAATACTGAGAATTCAGCGGGTCATGCTACAACGTTAGAATCAAAAGATCTCAAACTGCTTGTGTCAACAATATATTCATGAAATGGACCGATGGAGGTATATAATCGCTTCTCAATATGAACACTACCTTTTGAAATAGTGGATAGAGATAAATGACCACTAGAAAAACCGAATGATTAAATTATAACTAGAGTTTATCAAGACCAGTGGCAAAATCAACATTAGATCCACATTCAGACTCGATGTGTTCCATTTTACCACACTTGAAACATTAACCATGACTAAAGACATATGAGATACGAAGGTGAAGGTTACCACAGTATAAACATTTACAAAACCCGTGCTCATCTCTGGTAACCTGCTTTGCAATTCTTTGTTGAGTCACTTTTCATATTTTTACGAGAATTGGAACCATTATTAAACAACCGCGAGCTTAACCGACAGTAAGAATGTAGTTCGTCTCGACGACTAAACAAAGTGTCATAAATTTTCATTGACCGGAAGTCGAACTCATTTACGGTCTCAGTTATCACATGCTGTAATAACTTCTTTTAATGAACTTTTGAGTTTCTCTATAAATCTCTCCCTCTAAATTTGTGATATTTATCCCAGTATCAATCGATCATGAACTTGAGTTTCCAATTGGTCTCCGAAGATGAACATCGCGGTCTGTCTCTGTGAACCAAATATGAAATTTTAAATTCCTGGTCATTTTATCGCATCAATTTATGAAACTTTGATATCTCTGTATTCAAAGCTAACAGACTGCAAATGACTAAGTAGTAATTCCTTGGGAGATTCATATGACAATGAAATTGATTTCTGTGGTAAAGCCAGATTCTTGAGCAGGTTATAAGCTTCTTTTCCGTAAACGCCAGGGGATAAGCTATGAAGTTATCATCCTTGTAACGACCGAATAGCCAATATTCGGTTGGAACTACGGACTGACGAACCCAAAATTTATTCGATTAGACCAGACGAAGTTCCTCTCTATAGCCCACAACGCGTCTTTGAGATACTCGTATTATATTATATCAAAACACAAACTCTGTGCTCAATATAAACGGTTCTAATTAAGAAAACAGAACAAATTACATCAAAAATACAAAATACCTCAAACGGTACAGCCTGTGCTATACAGCCAGAAGTTTCTCTACCGCAAAGTAGCGCGCTAAACAATGAAAGAGACAGTTAATACTAAAGGGTTTGATACCTGAGAATCAATACAAATATTCCTAATAAGATGGGATCAAGTATCTATCTGCAGGGATTGCAGCAATTCTCTCAAGCAGACAGTCAGAAGGTTAACAGTCACAAACTGAACCATGCCGTGACCTTGAGCTTAGTCAAACACAACCTTACTGTCAATGGTCCGGCAACATGCAATAGAAAATTAGGTAACAAAAATAAGTCTTTAATCAAAATAACATAATAAAGGCTCAAACGGGGAAGACTGAAGAACAAAAGACATGGTTAAACGAGATCGAAACAAAGGTTGGAATACACAAAAGGGAGAAGGAACAAATAAATGAAAATACTGTTCAACAAAGAAGCTGCAGAGGGATTTTTACTGTTCTCTTTCCGTTACAATCCTTAGTATACTTTTTAGTCATGCATCAGATTTCCAACCTCTCCAGGTAGTAATCAAAGTCATCGTCACTCGAATTAATACCCAGTTGTCGAATATTTTATTCCACGGCGACACCAGTACTATAAATCAAAGTATTTGAATTAGTGTGCTAACCAAGAAGTTCCAGAATAGCACAAATAGAATTAGATGGATTCATTTGAACGTTTTGTATATATAATTCGAAATCGGCGAGTAACCAAGTACAGAGGAGTCATTAGTTCTGTAGACCATCAGTGTTGATGATCTCTGTAGAATGACTGGGGGCCTACTTGAGTTAGACGGGAACGGTACGTCCAACGGCTGACGTCGAAGTCACACCTTGCGGTTAGTACCTAACGTGTATTATACTTTCGTCGTACCAAGGTACTATGGATGCTTTAAAGACCGTACAGCACAAATGACATTATAGTAATATATATGAGTTGAAATGGGCACAAGAGAAATTGTGACTACCACTATGGCGTACGATTAACTGATGTGCTTTGGTTGCCCATGACCATGAAAAGGATTCACGATTTATCCGATATTCAGTGACCCATCTGCCGGATGATTTGGCTAGGGCCCAGTGATATTTCACTGGCCCCACAGTTCGTGCAAATGTCGCAACTTATTACATGGACAGAACCTCGAAACAGGTATGGAGACCATAGTAGGCCTGCCACTTTACGAAGCGCCTTAACTAGAAAATATGTTATAAAAAGTGACTGATATCCAATACAAATCACCAGTTACTTTAGAATCTCAAGTATTTAAACTACTGAACATGCATAGTGTATTTTTGTCAAGTTTGGAGCTATATCTTCTAGCATCTTTTTATAGACCCTTAATAAATATTCCTAAGTGAGCATAAGAACAACAAACTTATTTCCGAATATATATAGTAAACTACGCGTTGGCTATTGATATCAGCAAAGCCCTTACTTTAATCTAACATGTAACGGAAAAATCAACAACGCAATAAATTAAGACTGTGTTGTTTTAACTAATCCATTTTAGTCGCTGCTGTAACTACAGTGTGCACAGTTTTGGATTGAATAAATAACACTACAAAAGTCAACTGAAAAATGGAAGATCCAGTGGTTAGGAAGGTAGAGGATAATAGAAGAGTATATACATATCCACTGTTAAAAGTGAGTTTGTCAATTGGATATAGAGGGCTTATATTAAAATACAAATCTCCTGATATTGAAGAAAGCACCCCAATATCCAAAATTTAGGAGAAAATCCGCAAAGTCAAATAAAATTCCACCTGGTCTGAGAGAGTTTCCTAAAATTATGGTTTTTTGCAATATTTATGTAGTCTCATATTCACAAAAGTTTTGAGATATCTTTTTCAAAATCTGGAGGTTGTGTCCAATGGCATATAAACAAAACAGAAACGAAAGACGTATCAGTAGTTCAGTATAGAACACTATTTTGAACCCATAAGAAAATATACAGTTTTTTACTCAGAAAGACCTAATAAATGAACAATTCATCTTGATTATTAGAAAATATTCAATAATGAACTACTTTACAGCGATAGGAAATTTATAGACAGTCCATTTTTGAAGCAAACGATTCGTTCCTACATATCAAATGAGAAAAGTTGAAAATACTAAAAGTTAAGCGAAAACTCACATGACAGCTCAGAGTGTACTTTGCAGTTAATAATTCATGAGTGAATCGAGTGGATTTTCTTAGAAATAGCTTATGATTTTAGGGCGAAACGATTGTCTTTAGATGAAACCGTCAGATTCAAAATCGCAGGTCTTGGATTTTAGCGCCAAATCTATCTATGTATATGTCTAAGTAACATTCTTGCACTATAACTGATGTCATTTCATGATAAAGATCCCGATCCCTAGTTCCTAACCCTCACGTCCGACTGTAAGTTCCAATCTTAATTCCTCATGCTAATTTATAACACTCATATGACTCTAGTAAATAAGTGAACATTCTCTAAGTCGATCACTGGTTCACTTAATACAGTCTCAGCGATTTTAAATTGCTAGAGGAATTAGGGCACCTGAAATTTTCTCCATTAACGACAATTGTGGTAGAGAATTACTTAGATTGTTGCAGTTTCTATTAGACGCATTCCAGGGTTTTAAGTTAGCTGGTTTTAACCTGCTAACCTTTAAAGTTATCACATCATCGTGAAGTACCAACCTCTCGTTTTGATAGTGGTTGTTTCGCAAAAGCTTTAAAGCGTTATCGGTAGGTACAAGTATTTCGTAAGGTAATCACGTAAATTATCATAAACTAAGAATCCCGGTATTTTTTCGAGTCACCCAAATTAACTTCGGAAATTAGAGTGGTGCTAACCGACTTTCGCTTATTTGTGACTGCTTTTGAAACCTAAACACACGGACGTAAAAAATAGACTTTCGTTGCATATCTTAGTATTGTGTTGTTACGAAGCAAGATTTTAAGCAACACTTCTAAGTTACTGTACATTTCATATTACTCTGTAATTTCCCCCATAATACTTCCCCGGAGATTTATGAAGAGTTTGTTCTATGTTTCATAGGTCTTCCTTGAAATATGTTAGTAGTATTATTGGTGCGTCTTTTGATTTTATTATGGATGTAGTTTCAGAAAAGCACATAAAACCTTTTAAATAGCAAGCAAGTGTTATTTTACTAAATAAAAACCACTCGCTTTACCTACGACTTTCACACTGTCTATCGTTCAATAGAGTAGTAAGATATGTTGTTGAGATCTACTATTGAAAAGAGAAATACCCCCTTAAGTGATTTATTTAGTACAAATATTGTACGATGAACAAGTTATCAGGGAACTAACCGAATAATTTTGTTATTAAAAGTACATACATATCAATAATTCCTTTAAATGTTTTGATTATTTTTGGTTTTTATTACACACCTAAATATATACATCTTAGAACGTGGATGAAGAATACGAGGAATATTTTAACGTTCCGTTCTGATAATTATTTACTGAATTAAACACATCAAATAAAGCTATTATCTTTGTAGCATTATGTCAACAAGCTTTGAGTATAATGAGCGGTGCAAATATGTGCCTGGTCCTATGTTGTAGTTGACTGACTGACAGATTGTTTCAGCATTTATTATGAGAAGCGGTGGATGATAAAAATAGAATGGTTGGAGAAGACACCAAAAATAACTTTAGATCGCTGTTAGGACTCACCTCAGAGACTTGGTTGGCAAATAAGCCTCTATCGTGGTAGAACTGGTGCTTTTGGAGGACAGCTCAATGAATCTTTTGATACTCTCATTGCCCAGTATAACCCAAGCCTTAATGAAAAGTTGGGACGAGCCCCCGATTTTGACGAGGCATTAATAACTGAAAGAGAAAGGCAGCTCGAGAACACTAACAGCATAAATTTAACCAATACAGTGTTGGACATATTAACTTATACGACCATCTGACTACTGAATAGAGCGCAGGAAAATCAAAGTCGGCTGGTGAATTTACAAAATAATTAACCCTGGATATGCTTTAGGATAATGTTAAACATAGCAACCCACGAATCCGTCGACTAAAAGATGTTCATTAAGGCTACCCACTTTCAAGAAATTTCGTAGGATTAGATAAAACTAGCGCTAGCTAAGCCCACAAACTACTTCTAACAGTTGTATCAACACTGTTTATTAGATGTATATGCAGCGTTCTGCCTGGTGAAATCATCTATGAATTAATTTGAACCCTAGTTATGAATATTGACCTTAAGAAGTAGATCAACATATCAGAATTTCGTTCTGTAACCAGTATAACAATACCTTAAACCACCGACAAATTGTTTGATATGTAACTTTAGATTGCTTGTAGTTTTTTCTCCATCATTCCTTCTAGCATAGTGATATGAATGAAGATATGCAGACTGAAGTAATGGAACTATGTGTGACAGCATGTGAAAAATTCTCAACTGATAATGAGGTGAGCTACTTAAAAATACAGCTCACACCCCTAACAAAATCTTGATGCTTTTATTATATATATAAATTTTAATTATTTCATTAACGCGTATAATATAATTATTCAACCCTCCGCGATCAAGGTTAAACAATAGGATGAAGGTGTGTCTACCCCTATTTAATATTCGTAGCTTAACAAAATCCGAAAAACGTTCTTAAATCTTCGGTTGCAATACAGTGGTTTTCTTGACTTGACTCGCATAATATATGCCGCTATCTGTTTCGGATGAAATCGACGTGCAATGACATTTATCCCTTTCTAACTTATAATGATATCCACCAATAAATACGTAACATGTTATAGTATACCACATCAGATAACCGATAACTTGAGTTACAACTTACTTGTATAATTAATGAAGCGCTACTATTCTTATATATAATATGAGATGTATTTCTAGCTTATTAGAACCCTAATTCTAACCGGTAATAAAATTTATATTTTCTAGTAAACGAAATGGCTCACAAGAGTGAGCTTTACTGAACGAAGAACATAGATTTTACCACAGATAAACCTGTTACTGTGGTCTATCTTTTAAGCTCTTCGATCCCCAACATCGTTTTGTTCCTGCCAGACCAAGAGTTTTAGATTGGAGTATAAGTAAAATTCTCCATTTTACCATAGTATTACTAAACAAACATGCTATTGCTGAACCGAGAAGGTAGAAGAGTTCTAAAATAAATTTGATCTATAGCTATTAAAAAATTGAGTGAGCTAACCTCAAAAATTTAAATATTTTTAATTTATCTGCTACTTTTCATTACAATGTTTATACACTATTTTAATTCCTACTTTCATCCACTTAATTATTAAGGCAGCAGCTCGTTTCGTAAAAGAAACTATGGATAAAAAGTACGGAGCAGCATGGCATGTAGCTGTTGGTGAAGGTTTTGGTTTTGAAATTACCTATGATATTAAAACATTTTATACATGCTATGTGGTGGAAATTTAGGCATAATTGTCTGGAAATGCTGTTGATAATAATTATAGGATGTAAATATTTCAAAAAGGAATAAGAATACGTGTACACTATTTAAAATGTATATTTTAATAGTAATCTATATTTTGACAAGCTTTTCGTCATATTTTACTCTGTTATGTTGAAGTTCCCGAGTCCAAAAAGATGGAAGCAAATAAATATATTACCTATCATAAATGTCACTGGATTCCAATCACTTTTTTAACATACGATATTTTCCAATTAACAGAAAACCTCTTATGAACTAAAACATCAAAAATACTTCAATCATTTTTACCGATATGTATATACTTAGATTTGTAATATATCTTTTTAAAATATATCTAAGTTTGTAACTAAAAACAACATCTAAAACAAGAAAAGAAACCCATTAGTGTTATAACAAGAAATGGTTCAGTGAAAAAAGAATTCCTTTTAATGATGTTATTTACTTAATGTGTACAATTGTTTATAACAAATTTTACATACGATAACCTATAATAAAACAGGGATAATAGCGTAATTTAACAAATTCATTAAAATAAACTGGACATTTTCAAATTATCGGATATAGGACTTAATAATAAAATAAGTGTTGCACCACTTACCAAAGTTATCAACGGCTGGAAAGTCGTAAATTTTGAGTCAAGAAGGCCAGTGCGGCAGTCATAGCAAATTGTTAGAGATTTTGAGTGACATGTCTCAAAGTAGTTCGCATTGGCACAGACTCATTTACTCCACAGTTTCACCAAGCTTCCAAGTTTCTATATCACTTTTTTCCTGAATAGTATTTCTGATGCTTAGTCTATTCTATCACTATTACCACCTCTACGATTACGGGATTTGATTTGACAATTTCATCTCACCATCCTAATGATGTGTGGAAACTTGAATCGATGCACACGTAAGTCAGGTTATAAGTTGCGTAAAACTTAAACATAATAGATAATAATTTGCAGGAAAGATGTAAAAGACTATCGTCCACTTAACGAGAATAAAGAATGAGTGGTCAATAATACTGATTCTGCAAAAGAGAGACTGATCGAGTACGTCTCTATTTCATTACATACAATCGCATGTAAAGAATAATCATAAGTACGATTTTGCAGATAAGGTAAATGATGACATCGAAAAAAAATTCTCTTCACTATACAGTCTTCACTTAGCTTAATAACATTTATATTTCCTGATGTCTTTCTAAGAAAGAAAATAACAACCGGAATCGCTTGTAATTATTTAAATATAATCTGAAATAGTAGACCATATTCGAAACTGAGTAACTTTGGTAAGAACAAACCAGTACCAATCAATCTACAGTTGTCTTGACCTCCATTTAAATGTCAGATATAACCCATAAGTTAAAAATTTTTGACAATAGCGTAACGTTATCCATTTTAGTTGAATCTCTTGGTACCACATACATTTTAGCACGACTGTGCATAAAAGTGACATATCATTATGATTCGTATCAGCTGGAATATTGTTGGAAACACAAGAGCACCAACGAGTTGTTTTAGTGTAGTTTGTGACCCATCTCGACAGTATATACTGTTATATCCTAGTGAAGATTAACCTACAAATAATTTCTGAGACCTGATAATGGACTGGTATTATATATATTCTTATTGTATAACTATTCAGTAACTGGATTATGTATATCTATCTTCCTCTTATTATAAGCTTCATTTTGATCTATAGACTATTATTATACGATTTACTGTTCTCAAGTTATGTTCAGATTATTAATTACCGTCTGCCAAAGTCACAGCCACTTTTAGGCTTGATCATGTACAAATGTTATTTTCTATTTTATGGTATGATGTGATCCGTTTGGCTTGTATAAAAATCAGGTATGTTTGAAATAAATGATTCGTATAATGAGAGCAGGTATTGGTGTTCTGGACTCAACCGACAGGGTTAGGAGGACAGGGACCAATAAAGACACAGTGCTAAGATTGAATAAGTTGTATTTTGATTGGTGAATAAATCACGTGACAACTAGCCGAGTTTAGAGTCATAACACATACACTAAAACGAATGTTGTTAAATTCGAGAGTTCTACATAGCACTTGGACATAATATCATTCGGGAACTGACTAAAAATAACAGTTTACACTCGTTAACCTTTCACAATATCTGAAAAAGTGAACATCAGTCAAGATTAGCAGTAATCATGTACCTGCAGATCAACCATAATTGACTAAATAGGTTGCATTTTTCCCATATAACCTTGAAAAAGGCATTTATACGATATCGACACAACACAGAACCGTATGTAGAATACAACATCCCAAGTTTTCGCATTACACAATCGCAAAAGCAACAAAGACAGAGAACAATCAAAATAAACGATGGTATTAGTAGACGGGAAAATGGATGTACAACAATACAATAGTTAAGATCTATCAGTAGATAAATTTCACCAGTGATCAATTTTAAGGATTATCCCTCAGAGCCTTTTGAGTGGTAACTTTTAACCCGATGAATCTCACTAAAGTCTATGCTGTCCAGTGTAACAACCAATGTTTTCACTGGTCTGCATTTACTCCTATCTACTCATAATCTTTTACCAGTTTATTATAACAGACAACTTCGGATATCGGGTTGGGAAGTGACTTGTTGAGTAAAATACACTTTTCAACCACGTCATTCCTTCCAGATTCTGAACTACATAGACTTATTTTGTCTACAGCTTTCATCCAAATACAACACTACTGACTCGGTAGTTTCACTGTAAACAAGCGGTATTTTAGAAACACAAGGCAGATTTTCCATTCTTGATAGCCACAATCGTAAAATGACGAACTCGACTGCTTTATTGTGTGCTCACGGTTTAATAAACAGCCAGATGTTCTGCCAGTCTCATTTGGGAAGGCGGCCAGTAGATGTACATCATTCGCGCAAACCGCTCATTATGACTTTAAATGGTGATATGAATACGTAGCATATTTGTTTAGGAATCTCTTCAAAGTCAAATAACCCCGCAAACCTCAAAGTTATATACAGCCTTTACAGTAAGTAAAAGAACAGTATATTATGCTTGCGTTCTGGCGAAAAGTAGATGGTTTGGTCGATGCATCTACTGGTTCACTGGCCATTAGTCGAATGACTAGTTTAGTCAAACGGATTCCATTGAAAATGTGTTACAACATTACTTTATCCAGACCTTGGTTGGACAGCAGGAAATAGCACGAAACCAAATAAACTAATAACCAAGTGTTATGATAACAGTTAGTTCAGTGATATGTCCGCTATCGTAAGCTTTCCGACGTGGTGTTAATAAATGCTTTAGATATCCAACTTCAGTTATCTTTAGCCTGATTTATTTACTTCAGTTCGGTCAACTGGGTTATACGTTTTGTCCTAGCATAATAAGCCAAAATATGAATTTAAACACTGCTATTGGGTTTCAGAAATTAATCGAACTGGATGTGCCGCGTACTTAAATCGACACAAACAACGAATTACTACCACCCGTCATAGATAATGTTACTAGACACAGTCCCCACAAACGATGGGCAAATCCGTTTTTGTTTTCTCGTTATCGTGCTGAAGTCTAACTACTACTCATCTTTCTTCACCAACCGTTCAAATCTAAACTACTGATGTCTTTTAGTGTTTACTAACCCTGTAATTTCTGTTACTGCTCCTATTTGTATCAAGATAATGTTCTGATAACAATAACATTAGTTCTTCCATAAATATAGAACTGAGACTCTCACCGTTGACGTGAGTTCAGATACCATTATGAAATAGGTCCCAGGAAACTGTCCAGGCATATATATATTCAACATCTAAAAAGATACACCATAGGTAGTTTCAATTCCACTTAGTTTATCTTGATATTCAACTTCAAAAAGAGATATACAACAGATCAGATTACATGCTACTAAAATATACCGGTGATCACGAGTTAAAAGTCCCAATCAAATATCACCTCTTACTTCTAGATGACGAACCTAACAGAGAAGTGCTAACACAAAAAAACATCATTTCACATATGCAAACTGCAAAAGCTAAGTGATAAAGCAGTCGAAATTTCCACCAACATTTTATACAATAATAAAACCTAAAAATCAAATATCGACAAATAATACTATACCGATTATAAGCTTTTAAGTGAGGATAGTATTTCGACTTGGTGTACAGGAGTTGTGTACATGTGATAGTTTGTGAACATGGAAACTGGGGACCAACAGAATTGTGATGGGAGGGGGTAAGTTGATAGCTTTAAAAAATATTCAACGTGAAAAATAAGTACAAATGAATTAGTCACGTGTCACTAAAGTAAGAGAGGATGACTTATGGTAGAAGCAGTAAGCATTTGTGTTTAGGCGTAAATTAACAGTTCTATGTGAGAAAAACAGGACAGCATTTCCACAGTCTTTTTCAAATATGGAGGATATTGTAAATCTGTTGTAAAAGCAGGTTGATGTGTGTTCTCTTCCATTAATTGAAAGTTCTCAGACAGTTTTGACCATCACAGAAATTTGAATAGCTTCATAATACCATACTACTATGATTATTTTATAAGCAGTTATTATTATTAATCCAAAGACTGATTATCTTATGACATGTAATGATACATTGGATCAATATCATCTCTGGTCGACTAGAAAAGAAAAAGTAAAACACATTTTTAAAACTAAAAGCTTGGATGTAAAACCGTAGATTACGAAAAAAAGAATATATACACCCTGAAGGAAGACGAAAACTGCACAACCAAGTATATGATTAAGGGGATAGTAATTCAAATTAAGGACTCATCTTAGTTTAAAAAAACACACGAAGTACTGGACAGCTGCCTCGTCTTAGCAAAGGACCTCTCAACAGTGCGTATTCACAACTCCACTGGAGACCGAACACAGGATTAAACGTCATGAGACGAGCGACTATTCTTTAGATTACTGGACTGGTGCCCGAGCCGTGAATGCGTACACGTGAGGAGTTTCATACTAGGGCACAGTAACTGCTCAGTGCTTTTTGGTTTTATAACTCAAAGCAATCCATAACGTAAGATATGAAACTTGACAATTTCTACAAAAGCCCTATAGTAATAAGATGAATAATAATTTGACAATTATTGATAGACAATTTTAAACTAGTAGTATTTAATGATCGAAATGAAACGATATATTGTTTATGTCAAATAATTATAAACATCATAGCATACATGTGTCTAGAGAAGTGGAATCAACTTCCGAATATAATTTTACGTGGATGACTTTTAAATTGTATGGCTTAAAAAGGAAATGAGAGTGATATCAGAACATACAGTCAGTTAGGAGACAACACTTCGTGTTGTTCATTCGTTTCTATCAAATTTGACATGCTTTTAGATCGTTTAACATACGTATTAAAACAAGTAACTTTCAAATGAAAATGCTGAACCGATATTAATTGAAATTAAGCAGCTTAATTAGACTTGAACAACCGTCAAGTTAAGAGTATGAACCGTATATTAGGAAATTATGAGGCTTGTACGTATTTGATCATATATTTTTTCGGAACAATTCATGAATATGGTGAGACTCCCGAGTAGGAAATGAAAATGTTAGACAAGAATACTAAGGTAAAGGTACGAAATGTGTTTATCAGATTGTGAACTCTAGTTAACTGAAGTGTTTATAAAACGTATTATATATGCCCAAACACTTTCTCGATTACCAATTTTAACTAAAATTGGGGTGGATAGATTCTATATTGTTCATATTTCGGTTTTTAAAAAACTGATATTGTTGGTAGGTGAATGTTTAAGCTGTCAAACAAATCGTTGTTGGATATTAAAATAACTCAACTAAAAACAACCCTCGAGAACATGGCCGTAGTTTAATGGAACAAAACAGCACAGAAAATACCTGAATAAGTGATGAGAGAAAAATTTACTCGTCAACTACATTTTATACAGTCAGATAGAATCATGGTCAGTCAACTTGGTCTCTTGTGCTGTTACGGGTATGAGGGCTGATGTCACTTCCCGGCTGCCCACACCGTGGAAGGGTATTTCTTGAGGAACCTGAAAAGGAAATTGGATTAGTGTTGGTCTTGACGACCTGGGAGCGTGACCGCAGAGCCCAAGGGACAACTGCTTGAGGCCGGTCGCGCACGGCCTTTTCGTGGAAGGTTTTTAACGTGTTAGCTCCGTTCTTCAAAAGGCCTTACCGCCGGAGACGGAAATCCGTGAGGTAAGGTGAGATGTGACATTTTTAGGGTCGACCTTTTCTAACCCCACCCCTCCTTGTGGGAAGGCAGCATCGCTGTCATGCTGGTTGTCCGAAGGAAACACCTTACTGCTGTCACACCCCTCTACAGTCAGCAGTACGACTTCGCCCTCAGACCTTGAGTTGCTGCTTTTAGTCTTACCGTTCACCAATCGACCTGCCTGGCATGGTAGAACCTACAGGAACATATGTTCCAGCCAATATAGCTCGGTTGGGTCATCACGATAGGCAAGCGCGACCACCGCGTCAAGGTAGCAGCTTCGATCGGGAGAATCATGGTATACCAGTTAAAAAAAAAATTATTACCTTAACAGTAAGCTTCTGACGTGCTAATGCCATTCGAAGTATCAGTGAATGTGTACGATTTTTATACTCATCAACAAGTCGTACAGCTCGAGCAAACGTTAGACATCGCTGATCCACGTCAAGAACACGAAGGAGCTATGTATCAATTATAGATAAGAAGGAAAGTGACACTAAGAATCAGTAAAGAATTATGTATATGTATGTACGTATTTCCATAAGTGATTAATAATACAAAATTTAACTTTTATTCAACTAACAATACAATTATTTTCACAGTTATTATTGACATAGCGTTAGTGATGCTTTCAATCAGGATATTTTATTTACAAAACATTCTAAATATACAGAATTACAGAACTAGCAGAATTAATATTTAAAACACAATACAATACAGTATATATTGAATTTTAAAAATAATGAATACCACTTGACTAAAAAGAATCATATTGGATTCAAAAAACTTGCTTCCTGTGCACAGGTGAAAAGGTTGTCGTTGCTATATCTAACCACACTACTTGACCTATTCTTTAACAAAATATTAATCACAAAGGGTTGGAAATTTATTTGCTAAATCATTTAGGGACCGGTTAGACTACTGAAACAATCACTCTACCATTACTGGTCGCTTTACACAATTTAATAAACACTATCCATTAGATTTTTTTAAAATCACAACAATACAACACAAAATAATAAGATTACCTGTTTATGTGAATCAATACGAGCTTTAATACTTCCATCTTGGATAAGTACTGCTAATTCATTTTCTAGATTAGCTACATTTGTATCGAATGCTTTAGCCATCAAATTTAAATCAGCTGATGAATACGGACTGAAATACTGGAACAGATTAATCCAAATATAAAAAGAGAACAAACAAATTGATAAATGAATGGAGCAGAGACTGATATTGTTCACTAACGTTAATGGTTCTGTTTTATTTATGGAAACAAATGAATAAAACATAGTAATTATATATTAATCAGTCATAAGTAACATGTTTATCGGTTCCAGATCTCCTACAATATCAACGCAGATGAAATTATCAAAACATACCAGAATAGCACAAGTAGTAAAAAAATTAGCGGCAGTAGGAAACATTAGACATAAACAATATGATTCGGGAAAGAAAGAACTCAAAATTGCCATTGTGACCAATTTTGAGTCACGTCACCCAACATCTCCAAACATTGTTTACCATAATCGCACGTAACCCAATCAAGTATTCTGCACCTACCAACATTGCTCATTTCAGTAGTCAATAACTTCGTCGATTCATGATAGGGCTTATGAAACATGAGTAGTGAGTTGAAGCCTTTCCAGTCATGACAGTATATGGTCCCATTGTAAAATACCAATGGCACAGCATTGCAAATATTAAACGTAAGAGAAATTTCGGTCTAGCGAAACGTGATGTTTAAGTGTTTAACATTAGTATTCATCACCCTGAATTTATCTTAGGCAAGAAGATTCATTAGAAATCCACGAGGCAACAAATCTTTCAAACTAATATTAAACATTAACAACTAATTACAGGAGAATTTCTGAAGTTCTCATGAGGAACTATCAATGGTGGAATTTAAAATATACAGTGAGACAAATATATCAATGACGCCAACTGGATGAAGTTGGAAATGTGTGAAACATGGTGGCTCATTGATATCATGTTTGTCTCGAGACCTTAAGGTCTTAGATTCGGTCTACGTTGAGATCGTCGTAGCAACAGACAGATGTTTAGTGCCCTCTAGTTTCAAAGACATATACCCAGTTGATGTAAGTTTTCGATGAAAAATACGACCTTAAGAAAGCATCATCACTTTAAATATCTCTAGTTTGAGGTCTGAAATTATTTGGAGGCGTAGACATCTATTTGATCTGAATCTGACAGACAATACTTTTGACCTTCCTGACGTAATGACAGAGAAAAGTATTAATTATCATGCTATGTGATTAAGTAAAAATTATTTGAGTCCTTCTTTCTATGCTAACAACTAACAATTGAAATACGTTATCTAAGTTATTCGAGAGAAATCGGTTAAGATCACTGATATTCATATCCAGGTTATTCAAATAAAATTATTTTTAAGGAATGTCGACGACAATCGGATCGATCCAAGCTTTTGTTCATCTATTTTTCAATTGTATAAATATCTTGTAGTAAAATTTCCTATTTTAATTTTTTTTTAATGTATTAAGCATATCATGCGTACACAAGCGCGCTTTTATAGGCTTACAGTCTATTATAATGACAAACACTGCAAAATTCAAGTTGATTTGTATACTTTTTCACCTTTTTCCGCTTTGGATAAACAAGAAGTGATAACAGTTTAATTCATGTGATGATAAAAACATTTATAGGTCCAAATCGAGTGGCTAAAAACTTTACCACCGATGAATGGTAGATAATTACTGTTAAAAAACCTGCTTTGATGGATACTTCCAAATATCTAAAAACATATAATGAACAGAGAGGAATTTTTTTCTAACAATATTGTGCACTTTGTGCAAAGAATTGATTACAGTAATGAGCTATCGAAGGTAAATGAAGTACTTGATAGAAAAATTATCTTAATAAATACGTGTAGTTGATAAGGAATGAAAGTTTAATATCTTGTCTTCTACAGATTATATAATGATTATCAACTCAAATCTTGCAAAAATCTCCCAGTCAGAACTCACATAAAAAATGGTGACGTATTAACCTATTTTGATATACTGGATATTTCATGTATTACTGAGCGAACACATCCAGCTCTGCTCTAGGAAAGTTAGAAATTGAGAACTATAACCTATCTGAACATAGAATCTTCTATTGTTATACTCCATAACGAGCAGTTTAATTATTGAACTAATATCAGCGACTGGTATTTTGCATACTTCTATTACAGTGGGCTTCAACACTTAATAACGAATTAACTGATGTGAGGCTCCGATATTGAGTCATTATTTTAGGAATCATTCACTGTAGCATGATAGTTACTCTCATTGCATCTGTGAATAAAATTCGAACGTAGGTTATTCAAATACAATAAACACTAACCTGACAAAGTGCACGTGATCGAATCTCTCGACATAATGCAGATACATGATCAGACAAAAATATATCTAACCGTAGAATATTTCGTAGTTTATTTAATCTCCCCAAACAAGATGCGTAATCTGCTTGATGGAACGACTGTAACATGTCACGACAAGCAGGTTCTGCTTCCAAAAGTAATCTCAACGATGCATTCCAAGAACTAATGTTGCTAATTCAGTACGTTCAAATGTAGCCAAACTGCATAATGTAATGAAAAATGCTAAATCTGATATAGTTACAATCCGACTAGTAGGTGATTCACAATGATCATGATTAACCTGGAATGATAAAGAAGAGGTATAATATGTTTATGAACGAGTAAAAACAGTCAGAAAGGTTGAGAAATCGATATTTTGGACCAAAATAAAGAAAAACTATGATAGAAGTATTATTACTGTCACAACCTTTTCCCAATACTACTCGGTTGGGAGCGATACATATCTGTTTGGATGATACAGATCTAATAATATTACTCAAACTGATCAACTTCGAAGTAGGTAACAAACGAAATTCGAACAATCAACTTAACTGTTGAAAGTCAAATGCTTTTTAACCAGTTAGCATCAACAACAATTGAAGGATTAATATAATAGAGGCTTTGGTAAAATATGCTATTTAATGTATAAATACATTTACAAAATGATTCAGGTATCTTCTTTTTGAAATATGGCTAGAGAAGAAAAGAGAGTAACAACCAGTCTTATACATACTAGAATTATATAAAAATGCATGGTGTTCATTATTTCATTTACAACTAAGTGATCATGAATGCAAATCCTATTCCACAGGGTTACATCACAATAAATCTGGAAGCATATTTAAGTAAAAGAGTATTAAATAACTGTTATATGCGGACGAGAATAAATGAATGATAACCGTTAGGAATTATTTATGGGCTAATATTATACGAATATTCTTATTGTATGATTAGTAAGGAACTATATTATATGTATCTTCATAATCCTTGCATTATAAGCTTTTATTTGACTTATTGATTATATGATTTACTATTCTCAACTCATTCTCAATCTATTAGTCACAGTTTCTCCCAATCACGGCTACTTTTGGTTTGATCTTGTACAAATGTTATTTTCTATTTTATGGTGTGATGTGATTTGATTTGTTTGTATATAAACCAATTAGGTTTGAAATATATGATCCGGACAGCGAAGGCTGAGATTAGCGTTTTGAACTTAACAAACAGGGCTATGGGGGAAAAGGACCAATCGGAACTCTGGGCTGTCCGTACTGGTGTTTGCATCATTAGTTTGGTCGTATAAGTCAGCGTATCTAAATTGGCAATCGTATTTCGCGATATGCGTATAGCTAAGGAAATAAAAATAATTTTTTATTAATATGAGGTTACAAACTTGGGGAATGTTGAAGATAGTAATGAATATGGACTCAGTGATCATCAAAACGAAATAGACTCTTAGTATTTTATGAGGGTAGATACAAAACTAGCTATTGTAGTTTGTATGGTCCAAATTAGTTTATAACCCCATCAAATATAATAATAATATGGTATATATATGCAGCTTTAAAATACCTTGAAGCTCTATGTATATATTCTTTTCTTATTTCATTGGTTTTCATTCCTATGGCGAATTGGATAAACAGATCACTGTCTGAAGTAAAATATGTTATTTGATCCATTTATCTGTTCGTTATTAACGACTAGTTAAAGGGTTAAAGGTTTTCTTTCGTTTTCTGAGTAAACTTAATAACATTTCTGGTGAAAACAAGTCGTAATTAGTCACCAACTAACCGGCTATAGTATATATTGTAGAATATCATATATTACTGCATATGTTACTTATTAAAAGCTTAGTATTGTGGTTTTATAAATAATCGTTTCGGCTTATATCTGGTTCTTAGTCGGATATTTGAGTCTGTTGATTTAGTCTTTATTGACTAGCATCAATAGTCTGAACAATCCGTTATAACACTTTATTATATTAAAGTCGAGCTAATAGAAAAGGATAGGATAAGTAGTTGTACGAGATAGCAGTACCTGGATTAGTTAGAATCTTCTTAACCCAGAGAAATAAACAAGCAACGACACATCTAGAAAATCACCTGGTGTTCATATCGAAAGTGAGATAAATATGAATAATGGACTCTAATTATAATTACAGTTTGTACAATAACTTACAAGGACAAGTGAAATGTTTGATATTTTATCTCAAATAAATCAAAAAGCCCCTATTTGCCTAACAAGATACAGTCACAGTGGGAATCTAAGTATAAATATTGATACAACAAAGCTTTGAAGAGAATCAATTAAAAAACAAAGCCATTAGATCACAAGAAATATAAGTAGGCTTAATAAAGAAGTATCAACGTAGTATTTTACAGCTAATACTAACCTAAGAATTATATCACACAGGAGTAAACCATTAAAACGAAATAACTTACTTGAAGGAAATTCATTGCAGCACCTCTGTAGTTACGAGAAGCTAATTCAACTAGTCCAGCAGCAATAGCTAGCTGAGTTCGGGCTTGGCTAAGGCATCACGATAACTTTGACCACCTGATGTAGGAATATGACCTCCAATACTATCACCAGGGTGTCGAGATGAAATGCGGCTTGAAGGGTCTATTAAACTAGAAGAGCCACGTGTGGAAGATTCACCGGATGTGCCGGCAGTTGTTGTACGTGTTGTACCCAAACGAGCTAGGGCTTCAGTACGGCTTCGTTGTTGAGCATTTAATTCGGCTGCATTTGCACCTAATAATGGGGCAGTATCACGTAGTTCAGATAAACTGCTGGCTCGAGTAACATGTGCACTAACATGAGACCAAGCACGTTGAAATATAGCCACCTAATATTTTGAAAATAAGGTTGGATATATGTATTCAGATCTAATTTCCAACAAACACTGATGAAAAGTGAATGAATTTGCACCGTTTTTAAAATGTAAACATGTAAAATATTATATTTTCCTAAAAATGTTGTGATATAGGGTTTCTACCTCGTTCAGTGACAAGCATATATAAACAATAGGTCTTTAACTATTCACTAACTGATTGCGCATATTTTTTTTACAAAAGAATTCAGAATATTGCGTTTGTTTCGAATCGCCTACGCCTTTCTTTCAAATTCTAAACGACACTTATTCCGTAGAATCAACATGGTCAGTATTTTGAATAATTTCACATCGATTCAACAAGCTTCTTTTTACTGAAATTCTGAAAGACTCACAAAATCATTACAATTACAGAAATACGAAGTGTTTTGTAAGTATATCAGTGTACTACATTAAAAATCTAAACCCAAATAATAACTACAGAAGTGATCGAGAGAAAAGTAACATTAAAGCCACAAGTAAATGATTTGTTCACCTTCTACAACTTAAATCTACCCGTGATTTAGCTAACCTGATATGGTGAACCAGGCAATAGCTTGGCACGCGTCATACATTTCCTACCCACTTCAATTATTATTCTTATTATCCTTCATCATCGACTAACTTACCTCACTTGTTGGGAACACCGTGAGAGGGGAATAATAATAATAATATCGCCGTAACGCTGTATAAATATATGTGGAACGTATTTAGATTATGATGAGCAAGATGTTATAGGTGTAAACTATCTGATTGGTGTTCGCGTGATTATCGTAACCACTGGTTACAGACTTTGAGTGACATGACTCAAAATCGTTTGCAACGGCTCCTGAATTCCACGTAACCGTTCGTGTGTTCTTATTTCATTCATTTGTATCTTCTTGAATCATATCTTTGATCAATAATTCTTTTAATCACTACTTATTCCGTTACTATATCTACTATTCTGGGATTTGATCTGAAAATTTCATTTATCTATGCTGATGGGAACTTGAAACAATTTTATACATACCAGGTTCCATGTTGTGACTGACTGTACAGATGTAAATCGCGAGAAAGCGTATCGAGTTATTAAAGGGCAGAAATTTGTTATTGTTAAAACTACGGACAGCATTTATCCCATCAAAAGCAGCATGGAAGTGATTTAGCCACTAGTCCATTAAAGTTATTGGATATTTTGAAATTAATCAACGGATTTTTCTATAGTTTGTACGAAGTACATGGTTAGTGTAATCAAGTAGTAAGCAATTAAACTTAAATTGTAAAGTACAATATATCAAAATCTTTCCATTCACAGAAGTAGCATAACTTTTAAACATTAAAAAATGAATTTAGCTCAATAATAGTATAAAACTCTATATAATATAAAATAAAAATTTATCAAGTAAAGGTAGACGGTGTAAAAAGACTGTCAAGTTCGATAGCTAGTGATTCATTACCAAGCTACTGAGAAACGGTTCTACTGACCTTTGATACATATACATTCCATTAAAACCAATAAGATTACAAAGTGAAGATATAAGGTTCTTTATAATTATCCGAAGTTCAATTATGAATACAACACGTACATAAACAAATATATCTATACAGTAATAAAAACCACTGATTTACCTTAATAACATTTAAACACATAGTCAGTTCTTGTTGTTGAGATGTACAATAATCTCGGGAACGAGCAAAACATTTATTCGCATTGCTCAATTGTCCTAACTGTAAATACAAATCACCAAGATCATCAGAACCACGACTATTTTCGCAAGAAAAGTTAAAACAAAAAAAATTATGATAACATCAAATGAAATGACACGAAAATATTCAAAACAGTCAGTCAATCATAAACACCGTAGAACCTGAGGCACATAAATGAATCTGTCTAAGCTACCAGACCACATCAGTACAATATGGAACCATTACGACCCATATGATGTGGCACTAGCTTTTAGTGAAAATATCTCTCACCATCAAATACAAAACCTTAAACTCAATAATATGTATCGGTTAGTCTCATACATCACTTTTTAAGTAATTATGAACAATGTTTTGATAAAAACATTGACGATAAAATGTTAAACATAACATACAACAATAACTAATTATTTACCGAAATTTCGCTGACCATTTATGTAATGGTTAGAAACAAACTCATTTTGATCAAATATTATTCTTATTGTTTCGTCGTACTATTTAAACTTGGATTAATTTTAATTTGGTTATTTATTCTCTGAAGAAGTGACTTACACTAAGTCACGAAACGTCAGAAAGTCTCATTTTCTACTCATTGGGATATTACAAATATATTATTTATTTAAAACTAATTTAATGTTGCGCTAATGAAATTTCGTTAGTTTATTCGATATCACTTCCTGTTATCTGTATAGATAGACCAGAATTGAGTAAAAATATAAATAAGAAAAATCATAGTCCACAATAAATTTATTTTTTTTAAGTTCTTTTTAAACGTTTTATGAGAACACCTATGTATGATGATTAATGAACAAATTGGAACATCAAAATTGATTTATCAAAAAAGGGACATATACGCCTAGGAAAACTCAATTTAATTTATATGATACTAGATAGTGATTTCATGTCTCATGAGATGTGTGATACAATTATATGTATGCTCATTTGTTTTATCCATTTTAATAACAAGTAAAATAATAATTTAAGACCAAGAGAATCAACACTTCATAAAGTGATAATAGATAAAAAATATAAAATGAAGCCGTAGATGGGTTATTGTTATTAGTATCATCAAGATAGTTTGTTAAATGAAAGTAGGTACATTAACGATCGCATGACTGACTTTGAACCACATCAACTGAAACACCTGGTTAGTCTGTCATATGAAATGTAGAGCCTGGCACAAATATGTGCAATGCCCTACTTATTATACCATATCAGTACGGCAAGATGGAATTAAGACAAATGCCAGAGTAGTGACAATAAAAATGGTACTAGAAAACAATGAACACAGACAATATGATTTGAGAAAAATGAATTCGTGGAAAACAGATAGTGTACGACAGTTTTAAAATTCGAAATACAATGAAAGATAAAGGGTGGATGGATCTGGATCATTGTGACTGATCCTGAACGATGTCACTCAACGTCTTTAACTGTTGATCACTATGATCGCGCATAACACAACCAAGAAGTCTTCAGCTACCTACATGGCTGAGTTCAGTAGCCAACGCCCTCATGAATGGATGCTGCATCTTGGTTCGGTTGCCCCTAGCTTTTCTTCGATATACTTCTATGTCAGTCCAAAATAGGAGTTAAGGTGGAAGGTAGTAGTGCATAAATAAGTAATAGATACCCTGACCAATTCGGTCAATGAAAACTCATAACCTTATAGGTCGAGTTGAAAAAGTTGTTTTTAATAACAATAAAAACGAAATTATCACTTTTAAAATACCGTATGCTTTCTTTAATTGAATTTGCCTTGTGATTTTTTAATTCTGTATCTAACTGTTCCAAAAGCATAACACCTTTTCGCCTTGTAGACTCTTCCCATTTCGCGTCGTAAACCAAATTGGCTTCGTTCTGTAATTATGTATATACATTTTTTAGAAAGCAATAAATAGACAGTGATTTGTTAAGATGACCTTATAATAAATAAATACTTGGTTGAAGCGTATCTAGCTACTTTCGTTTTATACGGATACTGAAAAGATGTCAGTACTTAAGTAACAATGTATAATGCAGAAATACAGGCTCTTAAACGCACGTTTTGATTTCGTCACATACACCAGAATGATTGTAAGACTTTGTATTTAACGAAGTCCAAAATACAGAAACTGTGCCAGTCTCTTAAATAGCTTCAATGGTTGTACTTCTAAAGAGAACAAACGAAAAATAACACTGCCTGTGTTATTATAATAAGTTATAATCTATTTATATATTATCCAAAATCCATATTTTACATAAAATAATACCACAATTGATGATGAATCATATCAACACATAGGTTTCTATGGATGGGATCATAAATTATATGGATAATTTTAATTATTTTATTTGAACACAAATATTGGTACAGGGGGGCACCAGATATATATGCGCCACCCAATAACAATAAGAATGGGAAGAGAAAAAGAATGTAAGGTGCGTATAAGAAAGAATAAAAAAAGAGAACAATGACGACCAGTATATATTTTATCTAGGAGAACTATTTGTCGAGGAAGTTAATTTGTTGAAACTCAATCGTAATACTAAAGACATGTATTGCTATGAAATTTGGGACACTATATTTAAAGTACGATAAAATCATAATCAAATAAACTATTTTAAACAATACCTATGCATCGGTAACTTACTTTTCCGGACATGACCTCAGTTAAAATATTTCTGGAAGCTTCCGTAAGAGAGGAACCCAGCACTCCTAATTCACTTGGGCTAGATAAAGACAAGCCATCTGGAAGGTGATTGTTTGTGATAAGGCGCATCGAGAAAGCCGACTGCTGTTGTTGCCTAGAAGTCTCACCGGATGCTGATGAGTCAGCTACAGAAAAGTTTGTCTGAGGAACAAAATAACGTAATCAGCTTAGTCAACTAATAAGGCAAAAATATTTTGATAAATACGAATATCGAATGAAAAGCCATTAGTTATAAAACAGAATTTGCCGAAATAAATATTTTAAAAAAGTTGGTTTCAGTATGTTAAGAGAAAACAGTTGAAAAACTGAGCCTTGTGGCTGCAAAAGGTTGATCAGTATCTCAGATTCTATTTACATGCAACTAATGTGAATTAGATAGAAAAAAAATGGCATGGACATTTAATACGAGCCCAATCGGCTTGAATATTAGGTTTACATACCATAAATCGTAATTCAAAGTCACCAGTTTTATAGTCGACTTGTGGGAAAATTTGTTATTTAGTAGTCAGATGAAATTACCATAAGATACTTTTGTTTTGATCATGTTAACAGTACTTTATTAGTTCAGGTGAATCCAGCTGATGAGTCCCAAATGGGAAGAAACCCGCATGCTAAGTCCCACTACCAGCCACACACCACCTGTTATACGTAAGCTTATTTCTTTCCTCAAAAACAAAAAAGGAATTCACTCTTATTTAAAACATAAGATTCTTGGTAGGAGAAAAGTTACTTAGCAACAAACCCGGTGAAAAATACTAGTCAGTAACTGGTGTCAACAGTTTGATTTCTTGAATCTTTGCTGGTGCTTGGTTTCAGTAGTTTGTCGTTTAACAAGCCCACAATCGTTACCCGACTCAGTTTGGTAGAGTTAATTACGTTCCTTACAGATAATTTTAAAATTAGTAGATTGTATTGCATGACTTATATGTGGCTGGAAGCCGTATAGGTCTAATGTAAATGTTCTCTTTGCACAGCATAAATTTTCAGTCGTTTAACATAACACGTTAATAGTGACCGCAAAACTGCAATGTTTCTAATACTTCTTGTTTGCAGAACTGAGTTAGCCGGGAATAACTGGACTGATTTTTACCTCAATTCTTATCACTCACTAAAATTCATTATTATTTCCGGCTGTTGAACAATCTATAGTTAGTTTAGTTTTATGACGTGACACTACTAAGAGCATGCTACGGTATCAGCACCGATTAACACCAAATATGTGCAATTGCAAATTTATGATGAATCTTTTACATTGTTGTCCCAAAGTGACTATTGATAAAGCATCCTAGCACGTCAAGCTGATTTTTCTGTACCATTATTTAGTCAGCGGAAAGTTTATATGTCTGTATGATTAAGTTGCGAAGGAAAATATAAAGATCGAACACAAACAAGATGGTAATACAGCTAGCACGTAAACAAAATAGAGCACCAGTCAATCAGTTATACGCAACGTAGGACTTGGTATATGGGTACACCAGTCTGGATTGCCGTACCACATTAGCAAAGAGAGATGAAATTATTGGGGAAAACCCCGGAGTATCCAAGGTAGTCACAGCATTAGTGGTAATAGAAGACATTAGACATTGAAGATACGATTCATGGTGATATAAATTGATGAAATAAAAACATTTCGGAATTTAAAAACTTGCAGTCTAGAAGACAAAGAGTGAATCGACTTGAATCACTGCAACTGATTTTGAACCATGTCGTCCAAAGTCTTTAACCACTGGTTGTGATAATCACGCGGACCCCAATCGAGTGGTCTGAACCTACTTATAAGGCTCAATCCAATGGTCCATGTCTTCATGGACTGGAGCTTTATATTCGTTTCCTAGCCCCTAGCTTCCTCTCAACATAATTCTACACGTCACCATCGAACATCAAGTGAGCTGATATATGAGTATACATAATACATGTTCTAGTCATTTGAGTCGAACGTTCAATACCTCAATTTCGCTATAATTAAGTAGTAATCTGAGTCTAACCTCAAAACTACTAGCTCGTTAGTTCCAGAATACATGAACCACACTTCGAAGACACATATGATCGAAAACTAGCGACTTACGAATATTCCCTAATTTTAAAGACCAGGTTTCATGGCCATAGAGTGGAACGAGGAGAACTGCACAGCAAACTAGTCTTTTAGTTGACAAAAGGACTTCTTGTCTAGGCTACAAGTGACACATGTTGGCAAAACTAAAACGGAATTTCTGAATTTGCACACAGACCGCGTCAGAAACCAAGCCACCATGGCCGACGAAACTTCCAATTGAAGTGATCAACACGCTCAACTACTTAATTTAGGGGTTGACTCAGACTAATCCTGAAGCAATAGATTCTATTGTTGTTTAAGACGGTGAGAAGACCATTTTCCTGACGTTTTAATGCAGAGCGCCGAAGTATATCATACAACTTTACACGCCAAGCACTACCTGAACTAATAAGAAACACTGGGCTGAACATACTAGTCAATGAATTTTCTAGCTTAAAAGTGCGTAATTTTAAAATAGCAAACAACTAGGACGTATTTGCAACAAAAGCCCCGTATCTAAATAATGAAAACTATACACAAGAACTGCCGATAAGTTGTTTATGCTGCTTAATAGCAGAAATTGATGGGCGATAAACTATATGTTTTGACGTTTAGTTAAGCCACCAAATTAACGCTGTCATAGCTTGACGACACTTTCAGTGTCAAAAAGCGCCTGTCTTGACGCATTTGCATTTAAAAGGACAAAAATCAAGAGGAATGTTAAACTAACTACCTGCTCGGCTAACATTAAAAATATTTTGTTGTATGCGGAGGTGTCCAATGTAGACTTTTTGATGTAATCATGTGCAAGGCGCAGTGCTACAACACGCAAAGAAGGGCACCGCTGAGCAATAAAAAAGAGGCGCTGGTAGTATATGTATCCCTGGTAGTTCGAAATATAATTTCCCAAGTCCTAAAAGAATATTGGTCATGTACTATAATGCGACTAACAATCTGAACTTCATCATCCACTGTCTCGTATTCTGTTGAAGCATTAGAAGAGGGCGGAACATCTTCAAAAAGGGTAGGATCCAAATGAAGCATGATTGAGACTGAACAGTACGGTTCAGCACCGTCACTTTGGTAAACCCCGCTCAATTCAATCGATCTTCGCAGCAAATTCCAATATCCAATACGTTTGTCATAAGCTAGTATAAACAATTGACTTCTCTGCTGTCGCTTATTATTGTTTCAGCACGGTTCATGTATCTGGTAATGACCAGTGAGCGAAAGTCTAACCATTCTACTGCACTAATTCTCGTCACGTTGGTAGTTATTTATGGATTTGTATATCTTGCGGTTAGACTGACTGCGTTTTTCTCACGTCAGTAGTGTTTCCAGACGCTGGTAGCTGTCACATTACCAGGTAGGAGGTTGGTTGATTACCATGTGAGAAATAACAAAGCGGAAATTCGGATGATAAGAGGAGACAATTGTTGTTGGAACTAACTAAATATCGATAATGTATTACATTATCGAAATTTATCAAAGGGGCTAATTGCTTTAAATTTTTTGGAAGAAGACTCCCTGCACATACTAACTAAATAAATATATAAGCTGATTAGTTAGTAATCCATGCAGTGTGAAGAGGATGAAGTGCAAGAATGAAGAGGGAAAATTGAGACGTTATTTAGCGAGATAGGCGGTATTTACTGATATGTGATAATAATGACAGTAGGTAAATTGCGAAAAGTGCATCAGGCACAGCCGGTCAAAGGGAGGAATGGTTATCCCTTGAAAGCTCACTTCATCGTTCGTGATGTTAAGAGACAGCTATGTATCAGTTAGGACTGTGATCTTCAAATCCAACTGAAGACATACTTGTGATCTCTCTTAATATACTGTTTGTCCCCATACGTTTTTATGTAGGTACCAGATAGCCTTTCTCGTCACCTCGTTATCCACTACAGCAGCGCCTTTATGTGGTGTTTGAATTAACTAATGATTCTTTTGTACTTGTTGAATGCTCGAATTCGAATTCCAAATACAATAAATTCGTTTGTGCCTGTGTCTTCTCAATTGAATTGCGTTAATCCTGGAATTCCTGGTTCATACGACAATTAGTATACCATACTTTATTCGAGTTTTTAAACGAGTTGCTGTGGAATTCAGGTTAACCAGTTTTGTAGGAACTAACCGTCGTAGGTCTTTTGCTTTTACAATGTGTCCCATAAGTGGGACTTTGGTATCTACCTCCGAGTGAAGTCAACCGACGCCAAGGTATTATTGACTTGCCTTTTTTGTTACTGTATTGGCGATGTAGGTCAGTTCATACATGTGACTTGACATCAGAGGTCATTCTTGGAGTTGTGCCAGGTCTGAAGTCCCTTAGTTAGGTCTTCTCGGTTTCTGTGGTTCATAGCTATCAGATATAGAGACTTAATGGTCGTCAGGTGTCACGGATGAGGTGGCCCAGATATAGTAATTGTCGTGGTGGTGTGGAGATCCCTGCCAAGTGATAACCAACGCCACTGTTGCATATCGTGTTCGTAAGCTTCGTCCCAACAACCGCACACGAACTAAGCCACTCTTTTAACCACCATGCTGGTTGCTTCATGGGTTTTCCTGATCTTCAATCTGCATCTATTACAGCCCATGGTTCGCTGTGTCTAACTCGGACTTGAGAAAACCGTTTGACTGATGGTCTTTTGGATGTCAATAATATTTCTTCTGTAACGTCTACTAAATCTGAAATCATCTTTAGAGGGGATACTGCTTTTCACTGAATTATGGTCTATACACAGGCGGCATAGTTTGGCTGGATTTGTACCCTTCCACAGTGTGGTTAAGTATTTGTCCCACTGCTCTTTGTAAGAGGCTGACGTTTTAGTATGCTACTTGCCGACATTGAAACATTAGTTAAAATCAGGGGGTTTTCTCGTCTTGGTTCCCGATTTTTAGCATCTCGGGAGCTGTGCTTCTGCCACTGACTTTCTCAACATTCACTAACTGCTAACGGATATTGGTGTGTTAGCAACAGACGGTAGTCTGAGTTCGGGTTGTGGCTTATGCTTGTGTTGGACAAACTAGATATAATAATGGGGATTTGTGTGGCTGTTTTCTATTGAGTTTTTTGTTATTTCCGTCTGTATATTTCTTCTACACTCTGGTGAGTGTACGAGAACCACGGAAAAGGGTGACTTAACACGTACTCGTAGTACTTACTAGGAATTGTAGTTTTACAACGACAGTGGACTCAGACACAGAAGAAACCAATCAAATGTTGAATTGCCCGTTTTATCGAGCGACAGACAAGAGTCACAATTACCATTTCAACGTTGTTTCCCACCAGTAATCAGCACCTAGGGCAGTTTGTGGTCTCTTTCTCCTGTTTCTTCTATGATTAGTAATTTTACTGGGAATAGGAGTCTAGATAAATGTGTGATCCTGAATGCTTAGTTGGAGGCTCGTTCTTCGTGTTTGAGTTGAGCGATCCATGTTGTACACATTATTCTAAGATTCGTTGTCCTGTGTCGTCTATAGCTTCCCTGCTATCCTGTTGTTAGAAACGGGAATTTTCAACTTATCATTAACCCTTGAAATAAGATCCGTACCAACTGTGCCAAAATTCACTGGTTACAATGATTAATGACAATGGATTACCGGTACCTCCTTATGCAGATTTTGTTATATCCAGTGTTTTCAAGTGTTATATGACCTTATTAAATCTCTTATTCCCCAACAGCCCAGAAACTATGTTTTTTTCATGGCCCATTGTGGTGTTTGAATGAACTAATGACCCCTTTTTATTTGTCAAATGCTTGATTTCGAATTCCTAATACAGTACATTCGTAAGTGCTTATCTAGTACTTCTTGATCCAATTGCGTTATTTCAGGGACTCTTAGTTCGTACTATAATTCAAATACTCGTAATCACCACACTGATCTTAAGGTTTCCCATAGTTAGGAGATCCAGATCAAGGAAAGGTTGCGTTTTGGATATTTTTCTAGAAGGACTATTTGTGACACTGATGATGTCACAGGTATTCAGTGTTTCACAACGCTTCTACCAGTAACACCTTCTAATATGTTTCGTTCCCACCAAGAGAAATCAAAAGACAGAGTCGAGGAGATCGGAAGAGTATATTTGGCGATGACCAATATATCGGGATTCGCTGATCTAATCTGGCTAGCGATTGTGGTTGATGTTGAGCACGGCGTTACTACACGTGCTCTGGTGCGGATGCCTGACCGAGCGCCTTCAGCTATATGAGTCCACTAAAACATATGGTCAGCATCCAATGTCGAAAACTTACAGAGCTATTTATTTTAGGGATTTATTTACCGCTACAGATCACTCCCCCCCTAGTGGGGCAGTAACGACCCTAAGACGTGGCCAGCCAGAAGTTTAAACCCAACGAGTTTGTCGTTGGTAAACACTCTTCTGATAGCTTACTAAATTTAGCAGCGTCTGGTCGTCTTTCCTTACTATATGGGACGGAGGTACAACATAGTAAAAAAAAGAAAATGTACAATGAAAATTTCGGATCCTCATAAACGTCATCGTTCTTTTCCAGCCGTCCTGGAAAAGAAAAAAGAAAATGTAAGTGCATGTCGAAAATACACTCGTATATGCGTAAAAACACAAGGTCGGCGGAAAAAAAATGGAAAATAAACTCATGAGCACGTAATAGCGTTAAAAAATTATTTTTTTTGTTTTTTTTTTTAATAGAAATAAAAATATATAAGCATATTAAAATTTTTTTTTCCAAAAAAAAATAATATAAAATGTCGAGAAGTGCCTTACGTGCAATAGTCGTTTAAATGTTCTGGAAATCTCACCCTTTTTCCAGAACGCGTCGTTTTAAGTTTATTTTCGGATACTGTCGAAGTATCTTCGTGTGTGTTGGTTGTCGGATGAGGTATTATTAGTGTCTGAGTCGTGTCGTTCGATTGTACCGAAGGAAAATCGACGTGGATAGGATTTCCTTCTAAATACGCTGCTTTTAAGCGATCGATGCTGATGCTATCGTTGGTTCCGTTCTTATCGACTATATAGTACTTAGATTCACGTTGAAGAACTTTGAAGGGTCCTTCGTATGCTGATTCGAATGGTCGTCGATGCGAGTCTCGACGAATGAAAACGTGTGTACTATATCGTAAGTCAGGTTGAACGAAAACATCAGTTGATTGTGGTCGAGTGGAAGCAGGTTTAACTGAACGCATTGCGTTTGTAAGCCTGTTCGTGTAGGAGGTTAGATCCATGTTCATCGAAGAGCACGAAGGATCCACGAATTCTCCTGGAAGTCGAAGTGTCGTTCCATAAACGAGTTGAGCCGCAGTGTATCCAATGTCAGCTTTTACTGCATTGCGGATACCTAGTAAGACGAGTGGAAGAGCGTCGGTCCACTGTGAAACGTTTGCAGCTGATAGTGAAGCTTTCAGTTGTCGGTGAAAACGTTCTACCAACCCGTTTGCTTGTGGATGGTAGGCGGTCGTTCGGAAGCGAGTGATTCCTAAAAGTGTGGTCAGACGACGGAAAAGATCAGATTCAAACTGACGTCCGCAGTCTGTAGTGATGGTTGAAGGGCAACCGAAGTTTGCTACCCATCGTTCGACGAATGTGCGGGCCACTGTTTCAGCAGTGCTGTCCTTGATAGGTACTGCTTCTGGCCATCGAGTGAAACGGTCTACGCAGGTTAAGAGATAAGAGTATCCATTTGAATCCGGTAAAGGTCCTACTAAATCCAGATGGACATGGTCGAAACGGGCATCGGGAGTTTTAAACGAGCCTAAGGGACATTTATTGTGTCTGATAACCTTAGATTTTTGGCAGCTTACACAGGAGCGTGCCCACTCCCTCACGTCTTTATTCATGCCAGGCCAGCAAAATCGTGCGGTGTCGTCCAAATTAATGGATTTCGCATTTCCACGAAGTTGGTCGGTCAGAGGTTTCATAAGTGATGCGCATCTGGGTATGAAACGTCTATAGAAACTTACCAGGCCGTTGAACGTGCGTAATTGCTTGACGGTGGTCGGTTCTGGGTAATCCAGAATGGCCGCCACTTTGGTTCTAAGGGGTCGGATACCTTGAGCATCGATAG